ATCAAATAATTGCACTTTCCCTGTCCAGTTCTTACGCGGTTTAGGGCAGTCCATGTTGCACGAGGGAATTCGAAACCTGGAACTAATTGGATCACTTATGAGGTGGTTATTTGATGCTACTACGTCCTTCCAATGTAAATTCCATAAGTCCCCTTCTGTGATTGTACTATTTTTTACCGTCCATATAGGATTTCTTGAYTTTAATCTTTTGTTTGGTGCGTTATACAAGTCATCATATATTGGAAGGCTTGGAGAGTTTTGTATTTTCTCAATCATCTTTTGCTCTGCTGCTTGCCTACGCACTTCTGGGGGAGCTATGTGTGAGAGCACTGGTAGCCATTCTAACTTAGTTGATTTGACACATCCTGATATAATTCTCATTGTACGATTTAGTTGTGTGTCGACATTTTTAGTATAGTATTAGCGCAGTATTCTGCGACACTGTAAACTAATGCCAAGGATGAAATTCGTAGGACGTTTGCCCTACAACCCCAACTTGTTCCAGCCAGTTTACTGATGATATTGTTTCGTGTTTTCAATTTGTCTTTAACCCCTTCTAGATGTTGTTTAAAGGTTAATGRTCGAGGGCTAACGATTATCATAGCCTATGACTACTGAAAATAGATGCGGTGTACTGGGCAATATGATCAGCCCAAGCTCCATTCGACAGCATGTAAATAAGCGATTTTTTGAATTTTTTTATATACATTATTTCGCGGATAATTTGCGTGATTTTGCGGACTAGATTTCAGTTTTTGCGGATAACTAGTTTTTTAGCAAATAAAAAAAACAGTTGACATGCTGGTGAAATGTTGCGAAAATTAAAAAATACACCCTATTCAATTTTTTTTATTATACTTACCATTRTTTTGCGGATAATTTGCGTAATTTTGCGGACTAGATTTCAAATTTTGCGGACAACTAGTTTTTCAACAGACCATAAAAAACTGTTAAAAAATAAAAAACTACTTATTAAATTTTTTATTGTACAATTATTTTGCGTATTTATCGATTTTAGATATCGGTTCTAAACCTAATTACCGTAGAAACATGAAATTTTTACTGGATGTTTAAACTATCATTTTATACAAATGATAAAATTTTCAAAATATTTCAAATTTTTTTAWGTTATTTATAGACATTTTAAATTTTCAATATTTTTAGTTATTTTTTTTTATGAATGACAATACAATTTTATTCGTTGGGTAAAAAAGCTTCAATGTTTATACAAGGCTCCTAATATTA